GGGCGCTGCCCCTTGCAAAAAAAGAGGGAAAAGGCGAGAGAAACAAACACTAGGAAAAGGGGACAATCGCCAGTTTGCTTGAAATACTTCTGAAGTTACCTCATTCAGCTACCAATGATTTGTCAGTTTGCTGTTGATGAGTACTCCCCCCCCCCAAAAAAAATCTGAGCTTGAACAGTTTGTGAGAAGCAGACGAAATAAAACGTTTGATTAGATCTCATGGCTGATGCGTGTGAAAATCTTCCGGTGTTGTGTCCGAGTAGAAAAACCCGCCGACGTTTCAACGACTGCAAAGTCATGAACGAATTGAGCATGGCCGCACGCGGATGTACATCGAGCACCCCCCCCTTTTATGTAAGTTTAAACTTCAAATGTAATAGCCTCGTCTCAAGCTAAAGAAAAAACTAAGCAAATGTTCGAATTCTGAAGTTACTTCCCCTTCCCCGCCTCAATTATTTTTGCACGGCACGGCTATGTTGTATAGTTTTACTAAATCCCGGCAGCAAAACCTAAGTTGGATTTCGCACAAAGGCGCTCGCATCAATATAGCTTCTGACCGAAAGCCCTAAAGTTGGGACACTGGATGGAGAGGATAACTGTAGCCCCGGGAATCGAACAAGAACTCCTCGGACCCAAAATCTGCACCGTCAGACCTCGTCGGGGCCAGGCGAGGAGCTGACCCGTACGAAGCTAAACCCATCAGGAAGGTCGTGTGCTTTTGCCCACCTGCTCCCGTACAGGAATGCAACTTCTTGTTTTGGCAGTTGCTAATCGGTCAGAGTCTATGTATTGGCCCCAGAGCAAAATCGTACTAGGTTCACCAATCAGAATAGACACACCTATTACCAACGGCGTCAATCGGTGGGGCAAAGGTTAGGGGATATCATATCGTTTGTCTCCCCCCCCTCAAAAAAATTCTCCACTTACATGTAAAATCTTGAAAGAGGAACGTTATTTGCAAAAGCATTTACCAAAAAAATTCAAAGTGGTCAAAAATTGCCTCAGATCGCACCACAGAAAATCAAATTTTAAAGGGCCTTTAAGCAGACCCGAACCCCAAGCCGTTGAGACTTCGCCCTCACGTTAATTGTGATCAATTCAGGTTATGCCTCCCTCCAATTTTGATAAGCGATTAACGCCCTTGCTTATGACTTACAGCAGAATCATTCACGTTGATTTCAAGCATCAAACAAAAACTTTCGTCTGAAACTTTTTATCTGGAACCGACATTGGTGAAGCCATGCATGGAAAGCAGAACGTGGAAATTAAGGAACCGAAGTGGAACTGTCAAGTTGTAGCAACGTCATCTTGAAACCCCATGAAAACTGTTCAGCGCCCCGTGTTGATTAAAGTACACGGTGCCCCATTTCGTCTATTTATTTATGTATTTATTTATTCCATTTCTTTACCCAGGGCATGCCCAAACAGTTATACAAACTGGTTTCCATTGGGGCCCTGCAATCAGTACAAATTAAAAAAATAATTAAAAACTCAAGACGAAAAGTAAAATTGACAAATACAACAAACATTAATATTTACAAATACAGACCACTAAAATATCATACACATGAGAACATTTACATAATCAAGGCATTAATTCAATACTGATCACGGGATGGGCGAAAACCCCGCAAAAAAACCTATGGGAAAAAAAGAACACGGGGAAAATTCCCGATCCGGCTCGTTTGCGAATTAGAGATGCCATCCGACGTTTCAAACTGGCGCACCAGTCTGTACTAGGGTGGTGAGAGAAAAGCGCGGAAAGGGGGCAGGTATCTAGGGTTTCCCGCGGAAAAAGGGCTGGGGATGGAACACGTCACCGGGGCTGCATAATTTTTATGCGCCTTCGGTGGTGTGTATGTTTCAACTATGTCTCTCCCCTCGAAGGACCAGTGAGCCGGAAAAGAGGTGTATCCTTGCCGGCCCTCGGTATGAAGGCCGAAGGGTTGAAAAAATGCTCTTCGAGTATTCCACCTCCTTATAAATCACAGTTGAGTATGCTATCAGCAGTCAGGAGAAAAGAAAATCAATAATCCAGATCGAGTCGTCTTCCGGATGGTCTGGGAACTGAAGGCCTTCATCTGTTAAAAGTGCACGGACTCTGGGAGCCCATTTCAAGGAGAGCGGGCTCCATCGAGATAAGCCATCTCAAGACTAGATGCACAAAAGCCAGCAGTCGGGGGATCTTTCCCGCATCGATATCATGCCAATGCGAGTCGGTCACGAATTAAATCACAAGTGTTTGGCCACGGGAAACAGGGGAATGGTAGAAATACCTTTGTCACGGCTCAAAGCTTGTCACTCGATGTGAAAACAGGAGTGACTTGGGATCGCCTTTTGTATGACTTGATCACCAGTCTAGCGTCTTTGTGCATGGTGAAGTGTACATGCAGAAAAATCTTTTCAAGTGGTTTGCCTGAACCAACTGTTTTTCATGAAAATAGTCCAGCAGCGTATCTTTTCATAGCGGATCGAAAACAAGGGTATTTTGAAATCATGCCTAATGAAACAAACCACAAAATCTCTACAGTTTTTACGGTTAATCTTTCCACAAAATTTTATAATCTTTATGAGTTTTAATTCCGCAAACGTAAACCCGCCTTTGTGAATGACCCGTATATTATTACTATCTTAAGGTGAAATATGGTTTGTAACCTTGTGACCCTTTAACCTGACTTTCTCAGAACCATCACAAGACAGAGAGACGGCACCTCAAGTTACAAGATCACCTAAAGGCAGTCTGAAACCGACTGCAAACCTGTTTGGTAGCCCGGCAACGAGAGAATCGTGACCCCGAGAGGGATCAAGCGCTTTCCTTTTGCACGCATCCGTCTGAATTCGTGGAAAAGAATAAGAGTTGCTGTCGCAGTGGTGTTAAAAACGAAATCGATCAAAGTCGGCACCTCTGACTTGCATGTTGACCGCATGTCTTAGAAAAACTAGAGCATCTCCTGCCCTTTGAGACGAAATTTTTGCCGCACAAGTTGACCAAAAGAAGTAATTTATTAAGACAACGGAGAAATGCTGAAGTTTTTTTCATCTTACCTTTTCGAGGTACTTCGTCGTCTTTTGGTTTACATGCGAATACAAATTTGCATGTTTCTGAGCAAAAATATGTGTCACTATCAGGACAAAAACCTCAAAAGTTACGGCTATTTCTACTCCAACATTGTCAGAATTGGGTACCAGTATATCATATTTGCTGCCAGAAATTCTTTTTCTTTCTTGATATTTTTTAAATAAAGCAGAATTTTCTTTAAAACTATTTTCAATGAGAACATTTTGCATTTGCTATCTGAACAAGAAACCCTTAAAAGGAAGCGTCTTCTCAGAATGACATCACAACACTCACGTCCAAAACATCCATCCTTAATAACAGTTGCGGAAGATTTAACTTGATTAATGTCTTCAGGTTGAGCAGACCAACCCAAAAAACCGAGGAAACTCCAATATTTCCAACATTTTGTACAGTGTTTTTCAATTCCTAATGACACCAGTGTGAAGTGAAAAACGAGGACATCAGCTGATCCGAGGGAAAGTTGCATACCTGAACCATACAGGTTGCCCTTTTTTTTTCTTCAACATTTAACACCGTATGCAATACGTCGTTCGGCCGAATGATAGGCTTTTCACTACTAGTCCAAGTTCAATTTTGTTTGCCGTGCTACTTCACGATTACAGCATTGGTCATTTATGAAATCAAATCAAATTATATCTCAGATCAAGTATAGCTTCTCCGGGAATAGGCTAAGGTTTGCAGAAAATTTCTTGAAAGGCCAATGTCCGAAATGTTCGGGCAATCATTTTGACATCACTTTATAACTAAAATGTATTAAAGATGTTTCTATCCCAGTGCTTTCAGAAAAGAGAGGTATCCCAAATTATTATTCCTTTGCTACATGTATAATTATTATGTATAAAGATGTGTTCAAACTTTTCAAGAGAAACTCACAAAATTTGCAGGAACATTAAAGTATGTAATGTAATGCCCCATGATTTTGTAGAAAATTACGGTATACAAGTTCTTGCGTTCACCTGCACAGCAATCAAGCATGCTCAGGGAACGTTCTTGTCACTCGCGGGTATACGTCAATCATCTTTCAGTGACAGGGTATGCAATTTACCCACTGGGTATCATCGAAAAGTATGTTCTTGAAAGCGTACCCTGGGGCTGAGTTCGGGCGGCTTGTTCTCGTATGTTCAAGAACAGCTCGATTTATTGTTCGTTAGTCGACTGCTGGGAACGTACGACCAGTTGTTGCATGGAACATGGCGGCATCCATGTACGTACTTTCAAAGTAAACTTGGAAGGCTGGGCTGAATTCTTTTCCATTTAAAAAGGAACACGCAATTTTTTTTTTTTTTGCTATGGAAATTGATAAATGTTACTTTTGTAAAACTTCCCATTGTCTCCGGCTTGGTGAGCCATCTCGCTATCTTTTGCGACTGTTCAAAAATCAAAATCTCACGAGTTTTTCCGTGTGTTTCTGTAAAACCCTAACGACGAGGTGGTGTGTGATCCTGTCCCGGGAACAGTGTTCTTGGGTTGCGTTCCCGCCGTTCGAGCGCGAGAACAAGACACTCGTGTTAAGAACAGGCCGGCCGAACTCGACCTGAGAGGCTACGTCACACGAAATTATTGCAAAGATGCGGCAGACGAACTTGCTGAAGACGTTGTCAATAACTGTGAAGTATCGTACATTGGCAAACTGAAATCTTGTTGCACAAAGTCGAAACTGGATTCTAGTAAATAATCAAAAGATGGAATCTCACTACAGCATCATTCTTGTTTTCTGCAATGATGTGCATACTCCAAAATCTGGAACATGTATAAAATGTCCGTCAGTTGAGTTGCAGAGTGCGTTACAATAGCGTTCTTTATTGCCAAGAGCTCTGGAAGCGTCCACGTAAAAGAATAGCAATGTTCTGCTTTATGTCCCCTGAATTTTGGCATAAATAGCCCTACAGTGCGCCCGGCCCGCTCAGATTTAGAATGGACAGGGCCCTTGGAAACCGTACGACGGTATTGCCCAAGATTTCCCGGCAAGAGACCATGGGTATACATGTATACATGTACGACATCGCTGCATTATCTGAAGTCATTTACCCGCAAATAAGCATGCTTAATTTGAAGTGCTCTGGTTAATTAGTGATCATTATTATTACTCCAACGTGCATAGCGCATGACCAATTTAATAGAAGGCACTCCAAACAAGTGGGGGCAAGGTTAACACTTTTCGCTGGTATCTGACCTTTTTCTGTTATGTACACATGGATACTTTTCTTCGAACGCGCAAAGCTTAATCAGACTCCCGGTATCCGCATAAGCCACACTGACATCGTCAACGACAAATGGCAGTCGGACACAAAATGGTGGATTTTTGCCAACGCACAAAGCTTGATTGGAATTCTGTTGTCCACATCATCCGCACAGATGGCTGCGTCAAACAATGACAGTTGGACACAAAATGGTGTCCGCTGTACCATTTCAGTGTTAAAAAAATCAAAACACAAAAACCATAAACTCCAAGTCCCAACTGACAAATAGTATGATAAAGTTGTGGGAATTGCTTTGATATTCAGGTTTTGAGTTTTATTCGAATATTCAGGCTCGTTAAAAACTCCCAATATACATGTACAACTATACAGGCTGTCCCTAGTTAGCGGCAATCGTGCGAGATAATTTCCTTCTTAATCTGATTTTAGTACAAATCCTGCACAGTTAAATTAAAAAGTCTTTGATTTATACTTATTTACAAAACTGATAAATACAAAACAGTTTTCCGATACATCAGGGAAAAACACGTAACACAAGCTCTGTCTAAGAAAATGGCGTGTGGCACGAGTCCGAACTCAAGGGTTTGACCAAAAATACACTGGAGATTGGGATGACGGTCAAATTCAACCACGTGTCACCAAACTCTGATAACACGCACAGCCGGCCATACACGCGTATCTTCATGGAAAATGCAGCTTGTCTGATCCGTTGAGAGACACCAGTCAAAAGTTACGGTAACTGACAGACACACAACTCTTTTTCCGCAAAGTATGTCACAATGTACGTGAGGTAAACTGGTTGAATGACGTGGTTTTTGTGTTTCCTTTTTTTTGAAAGGTCCGGTTCATCTGCCATTCCGCTTTTGCTCACACACGTCGTATACCTTCACGAAACGCAAAAACCTCTACCTGCTAGTGTTAACGACCCGTAAGAGCATGTTGTGTACAACGCGGTCAATCGGTTAGAACAAACACTTTCGCTGCGAATTGGACTGTCTAAGGGCCGGTTCATACTACAGGCAAACTCGAAAGCAAAGCAAATTTGACTTCACGAAAGATTTGCAGCAAAATTTCGCCCAAGTTATTGTGTTCATCACTGGCGAATTCGGAGCGCTATTATTTGATCTGACGTCATGAATTCGTGTTTTTTTGTGTTCCTTTCGCGCCAAGTATGAACTAGCCTCAGCGTGTTGTAGATTTGAATTCGAATGAAATCGCGAAAGGGGAAATATACAGAAGTGCCAAATATGAAGGCCCGAATGACCAGTGTGCCTATATATCAGTTGAATGCCACGGATTGTCTCTCAAAAGGACTTATTCATCAGCGAATAGTAAAACCTGACGTTTTTTTCTCTGTTACTTTGTCGGTGGGCTCAAACGAAAAACAAAAATGCTTTTTGAAAGTTGATCATTTCTTTCCTAACTAACCATTTTTTTTTCAGTGGCCATCAGGAATTCCTATGAATACATTTTACTTTCGACACGGTGTGCTATGACACATGAACAGTGTGGCTGTGCAAGGAAAAGAAACAATGCATACGGTAAATAAAACAAACTTCCACTCAGAAATACTGACGTAACAGAAAGTATCGGTCGACTAACTTGGACAAATCTGACTTCGTTAGAAATCTGTACTAAAATGCAACAACCACTAAAAAAGATGTAAAACTAAACGCTCGCAGACACCAGTTTGTGAAAGATAGTATCTCAAAGAAAAAAAAGATAATGTACAGTATTTACAGCAATTTACAAGAAAAGATGGCGCAGGATATTTCTCGTATCCCGTGACACCATTTGGTATTACCACGGCAATAAGTTAAAAAGGTAATGAGACAAATAATACACAAGTTTTTATATAAAAGATACATACATACATGTTTAGCTATCTACCACTCAATATAAGTCGCTGTTCCCCTTCATATCAATTTTAATCTCTTTACAATTTCAGCCCCGTGAGAAAATAACAAGGCTTCTTGAAGTTTCACTTGGATAATTTTCCTTATAATAAAAAAATTCTTTCTTCACTCTCGTTTACGGTATACACAACATCGAGGAAATATCCCAACATGCCCGACTGTACACAAATTGTAGCGAAGCACAAAGGATTTTTAGTCACGTGATCTTTGACGGCCAGCGTTCAATTTACACAGATGTGCGCAATAAACGCGCGCACCTTCTTAGTCTGCCAACATTCTGGCGTACAAGAAACTGCCAGTAGAAATACACAGAGTCAAAAATGCACGCGCCTCCATGGACATGGTACGCTTCCTGGTTAGCCTTGCCAGTCATGTTGCCTCACGTGAAAAAACCCTAGGTGTTTGAGTTAACAAATGATGGCTTTTGAAGGGATAATATGCGACACTACAAAAGAAAATTACGATAGAACCGTTTGACTTTTACTACCGAATCCAGTGAAATAAGAGTTTCTGAACAGTATCCCAAGAAGTTCTCACAAAGTTTAATTTGTTTTTGAGCCCATTTGTCTGTACACCATGTGTTTCCATTCAGAGTGTCTTTTCCCTATGCGACTGCCATCCAACCATCTCCCTCATGGAGAACCATCTCCCTCATGGAGAACCATCTCCCTCAGGGAGAGCCATCTCTCTCAGGGAAAAACTCTCTCTCAGGGAGAACCATCTCTCTCAGGGAGAACCATCTCTCTCAGGGAGAACCATCTCTCCCCGGGAAAACCATCTCTCTCTCAGGGAGAACCATCTCTCTCAAAGAGAACCATCTCTCCCTGGGGGAACCATCTCTCCCTCAGGGAGAACCATCTCTCCCTCAGGGAGAACCATCTCTCCCTCAGGGAAAACCATCTCTCTCTTAGGGAGATGATTCCGGATATAGGACTCTCCAGTACACTGCCACAAAATTCTACCATGAATAATAATGACTGCAATTGTCAACCCTCAATTTCAGGATGGTTAAACTCAAGATCAGCGCAAGATTCCAGAGATATTCTGTGGGAGTGCCTGGACTAGTCACTCTAGCCCAGATCCGAAGTGTTCACTGCTACAGACATTCTGAGAACTGGCCAATGCTTGCCAACAGAGGGCGCCATACTGATAGTTTATCTCAGGACAATTTTGCCCAAATCAGTCAGTAAATTTCAACGACAAACTGACGAGATTGCCAATACGAGGTTCTCGGGGGTAAAATGTAGGCGCTTGGGGGGAATACTTATCTGTTTTCCATAACACATACCATTTGATGATTCACCAAATGTCAGGAATTCACGTAATCCCTTATTTTCAAACTGAAATATGTCCCTGAACAACTACTCACTGAAGCGAGAAAAAAAAAATGGAAAGAGTGGTATTTGAGGCAATTCCATTATCCTGTAGCAGATGTCTCAAACACAAATGGGTACATCTTATAACACGCACTTGGAACGTCATGAAAAAATACCAGCTAAGATTTGTCAAAAATATTTTCCAGACTTCACAAATGCATCTAAATTGGCTATGCTTGCTATGCAAGTTCGAATTACAATGGGAGGAAAAAATAATGGAGAAGTCTTCCTGGAGAGGAACTCGAAAACTGACTTTGCACAAATCTGGGGGTGTCTAGCCAGAGATAAAAGGCAGATTGTTGGGGGTGTCACGTGACAATGGGAGACTTTGAGATGCTGGTGGCAGAAGACATAACAGTCCTTTTTCACAGTGCTGCGCGTGCTCAGAACTATGCACGCATGCTCAGAACCATGGGCACCTGCTCAGAACTGCTGAACGGGACCGGTATGTTTGCTGCCATCAAGCATCTCAAAGTTTCCCATTACATGTAAACCGACTACCATTAGCTCTTACACAGAAACGCTTGACAAGAAATGAAGAGAGACACGGTTATCAACCAGGTCTGTTCCACAGGACGTACTGAAGAGCATCTTATTTCGGAGTCATTCAGTAAGGAAGGGGGAAAAACGGACTGCCGGTCAAAAGATTCTTATACAAGTGCAAGGGGAGATTGAAAAATAGGGGGGGGGTACAGACAAGTTCCCCAGTTGGAATTCTGCTGGACTTCTAAAGACAACCTATATTTTCTCTTCTAGCAAATCTTCTTGTTCCCTTTTTTTAAAAACTGTATCAAAACATTTCAGATTCTTTCTGGTTTTTATTAGAGAGACTACGGGAAGAAAATGCAGTCGAAAAAAGGAAAGTGAAAAAGAAGTAAAAGTTTCTTATCTTGAGAAGAATTGGCACACTTGTCGGATATTTTTGTCTGTTTTTTTTCCCTTTTTTTTTTTCAAACGGCAAAGGGTTGGGTGTGTGTTGCAGAGCAGAGGCGAGTGCTATAAGATACTGGAACTAGCTCCATCCCCCTGAAGTAAATGGATCGGGCACGGGCCTTCTGTCCACTGTGGGGAAATGAGACAGGTAAAATGTAGACAGTTAATATCAATCACTGATAGGGCCAAGTCAATTCCAATAATTCACTGTTCGAATATTTGACCTTTGAGTTTGATTGAATATCTGAATATTGGTCTTACCTAGCGGTGGATTGTTGAACAGACCATATACAAAATCAGTTGCAATAACGTACACAATTCTACATTATAATCACTATGATAGCTTCTCACATCTAGGAGTATCTTCAGCCACGATTTAGCAAGATTTAAGAGACGAACAATACTTCTTGCTCTGTTGACAATTTCTATTCCATTTAAATTGTTTAATGAACAATTTACTTTTTGCATCAGATTTTATTTAACTTGCAAATGGCTTAATGGTGAGGGTGGAGCCAAGGTACTGCCACTTCAATTAGGATGACATACGTCCCCGTGACACAAAGAATTGGTTTACTGCACACTGGAGGGTACTGATGGACTCGGGGCAGGCCTCCTAGCTCATTGTTCTGAGAAATCTGGGGTTAACACCCACCTGTATAAGGTTGTGCTCTGTCTGCTGAGATGATTGGAAGTGGTCTTTGAGGAGCTGTTGTGAGAAGGAGGTGTGCATCTGGTAGCCGTCTCTCTCCCGCACCGGGTCGCCCTCCAAGTGATACAAATCTGAGGGTGGGGGAAAAGACGGGGCCCAGTGATAGCGCCTGCGACTTGAAACAAGCAACGGCTTGACTACACTTCCCCGTGCCTTACAAGAATGGACTGACCTTCAGCAACTTGTCAGAAATACTCCATGATTGGCTATTACACAACCAGGTTTTGGAGCCTTAAGGGGACGTCTGGCACAGAAGACTGTTTGATACAGCAGTCTACTATAGGGCACACAGGCCATTGAGGAACGTGGCCTGGCCCTCTAAATAGCGCCCTCTGCACTTGGTACACCCCTACTATTGTGTCATGTCATGTGTCACATACTTAACTGCCTGCGTGCTCAGCAGTGTGCACTTGTGTTCACACCGGCAGCCTGCACGACAGCGCTCCAGCACCAGCACCGGTGATGCAAATTAAACAAGTTTATCCACTCACCTCTGAGCAGGGCCGATGCCCACAGTTGAACGTGCACGTCTGGGATTTTTTCAGCGAGTTGCATGGCTGGTAAGACCATATTCATGCTTTCCTGGAATGAGCATTCCAAGACAAGACGTATTTGAGTTTGCTCACAAAAAACAAAAAGGCGGAGTTGCAAACCGAGACGCCAATATAACCGAGAACCCAAATACGTGAAGTTGACATACATGTACGTTCCAGTTTTCAAAATCTATTCCTACTGTTGCAAAATTTATGTGACAGTGAGACTCACGTTAGCAAAGCCACTTTTGAGTAACAGGCTTCTGAAAGAATTTTGCTCCGGGTAAATCAATGGGAACTGTTAACATTGTTCGATCATTTTCATCAGGGTGACAAAAACGACAGAAACGTCAAAACACAGACCTAATCTTGGTCTTTCTCATGCAAAGCGAAACAAAATGACGGGGGAAAAAATGGCCTTATGACTCATTTTCACGGAGCGGGTCACGAATCTCCAACACAATTTTTGAAAGTGCTCACACACACTTGTAACATCGCTGAATGGGGGAAAAAACACGTAGCAGGCATGTGAATGTCGTCCAGGAGCAGTAAGACCATGTCTATAGTGCCTGGCTATGGCTAGCAATAATAAAGTACTCTATGAGGCTAGCGGCTTGAGCCATTTCTCATAGACATGCGTATTATAGAAAGCCATGGCCAAGTCATTTGGCTACAGCCACACGTGTTCCAGCATTGAGATTAGAGGAACATAAACTACCATAGGTTTTGAGGGGCCCCTGCAACGTAGGGTCTATGGGATACGTCTTTGCCGACAGGTGCCCCTTAAAGCACCCATTTTTTGTCCTCTCATGGCAAAATATGTCACTTTCCAGATTAATCATACTGATGAAAAGATCATGAAATCAGGAACACTCCTGACAAATCTCAACCCTACATGTACGGCGTCTAAAAACACAACTGCTTCATCGATACGTCAGACATTGACTCTCTGTGATCTACCCACCCTTGTGCTTCCTAAGGAGAGGAATATGTGGCCCAGTAGCACCAGTGAGCAGGCAGTTAATCTATTCAAGTCCTCTTCGTTGGACATCTTTAACGTTTCCCTCAGGTATCTCCTGGGTTAGGATGTAACAAGGATAAAACATTGACATTATCCAGGCTAAAAACACATCTTTATATAAAAAAGGGGCTGTTTCTTAGAAGCCAAGGATGTGTTTAGCCAATGGCAATTCCCAAACCTTCAGTGAATGATAACTAAACCACTTCCAAATGGCAGTATTTGGGGCCAAAAAAAGACTTGTGTAAAGGGTGAAATATATCGGCCACCTTTCAAAATCAAACATCCCACAGATTGACTTTTTGGAGTCACCTGTGCAACATTTCCCACTGCAACCTCGTATAATAAACTCTCAGAGGTTCCATCACTTTTACAATATTTGCTTCTATTGCAGTGGCCAAGTTGAAGTTCAACTTCCACAACGTGTGTGAACAAAACAAACGGGGTACTGGATGCGCATACAAGTTTGCCGCCACGCACTCAGGGAACACTCTACGATTTGACCCGTCAACCACCACTGATTGCCAGATTGCCCTCTGGCATAAACCAAGGCTTTGGATGCTGCTAAACAGGCCACCAGTGACAGAAAATAAATTCTACCTATTAATATCTATTTCCCAACAAAGCTAATACTTCAAACCTCGGGAGAAAATGATTATGACCCCCCCGCCCGCCTCAAATATCCTTCAGGATGTTATACTTAGCCAGAAAGCTAAGAAATGACGGTCTAGAAATTTTGTCAATTATCTTTCTCAGAGGCGTCTGTTTTATTTGCACCCACAAAATGAAACACACAAAGAGGTACATCCCATTTCACTCTCTTCTGTTCAACCTGGCCAAAACTTGCCGTTCCACCCGGCCACTCAGCCCACCAGTTCTTCGTGTCCACAAAGCAAGGGATAAACCAATTGCTCCGCACACAGGAAAGCAGCTGCGCCTTTGACGCTAAGACTACTAAGTGTCAGGAAGCCGCTGGACAACTAAGGGGACCTACTGTGATGAACCAAAAGTCGGCCCGACGCTGACTTACTTTGCCTCGTTGTATCTCGCTTGAAAAAACGCCTGCAGACCCTGGACATAGTAGGACGCCGCTCTGAGACTGTGTGAGTTTGTGGGTAACACCTCTGGGTTGATCCGTTCTAATAACGTTAATAACTGGACAAGGAGAGCACAAAATAGACACGAATGAAATAGAAATGCTATGGATGGTTGGCTGTCGAGGCGATGTCTAGGGTTAGGCAAAAGCAGTGTATGTAGAAAGTTACTATAACTTCAGATTAGAAGCCATTTTGATTCCGAAGTCAACAAGCGCGTTTATGCAGGAAGTGAACAATCACCCCTCTCTGATCTGTCACGTGTCATGTCACATCAAAGTACATGTACCAATCATTTATTGCCATTTCCTGACAAATTTCTACAACCCCAGGGGCAACAACCCATCATTTTGGAAACACAGTGGCACTGTACACCACTCCACGCAGAACTTCACCTGCCAACTCTTTCTGTGTGTGGCTCTGGGTTAGGCTGGAACCATTACCACTGCTTTTAATGTCACCAGACCATGTTGCACGACCAGCATGTGGAGGACCCTCTTAACCACAACAACGTATTACATTAATGGGAAGCGATTTTTTTCTTTTTTTTCAAAGACAAAGTAACAATAGGGTTGAAAATGCAAAAGTTACACGAAATTATATTTTGGTTGCAATGTTATGATTTTGAAAGCTGTCATTCAATTGCACGAAAATATTTAAATATGTGAAGGGTTCTGTGAGGCACTGAAAAGAAGCCGCATGATTATAAAAAACATTATAAAGAACAGATTCAGCCCTGCTATGGAAATAACAATAAAAACAAATCCACACTGCCCTATGAATCAGAGTACCTGTGTCCCTGAGCAAGACACTTGATCACATTTAAAGCTAGTTATGGAAAATCACTCATTTCCGGCCTGCGTAAAGACTGAACCAGCTCTGATGGTAATAGAAACAGTTGTCCACTAACCTCCTGTTGCCTATTGCCAGACCTGAGGTAAACTATTGCCAGATTGAGGGATGCAAACTGCCACAATTCTGTTTGCGTTGTACTCTGCAGAGACGATAAAAGGAAACTGCTTCATGAATTTCTCTGATTGGTTTAACACAATGGACTAGTCACGGCATACTGCAAGTCGCCGTGTTGCCTTTGTCTGAAAACAAAGCCGTGTGACTTCCTGCAACACAACTGGAGACCAAGTAGCCGGCGACATCCATTTTTTTTTCAAACATTCCCAGAAAGTACAAAACGTTCTGTGCTGATCATAATAGATAGGCGAAGGTACATATTGTTTCCACCTCCTGTGACCTGTAAACTGTTCGTACAGTAAATCCAAATTGCCATACACTTGAGGTTCATTCAACACATCACCCCAAAGATTCCCATTGAAAACACCGAAGCTCAGGATACCACAAGACACGGGACCGATATGGGCCAATCGAGTTTACTCACCGCCAGAGCTGCAGTGAACTGCGCCTCTGCGCTCTCCATGCAATTCATGGACATTGAGTAGAGCCCCAGTAACGTGTGAAGCTGGGCTCCGTGTGTCGAAAGTAGCCGTGGGTTCTGTGAACACACCTGGCATGCTTGTGAGATCTGCAACAAGACAAGTTTCACACTTTTAAAAGACCAACAAAAATCAGTTGGTTCCATTTGAAGTTTTATCCAATGGCTTGACTGCCACTTTATTTTTCAACTGTTTTTTTTGCCACGAGTACCCCGTCTCCTCCATAAAAAAGTCCACAAAAGAAATCAGCATGTCAGACTTATCAAACTAGATTCTCTAAATACTTGCAAGAGACCCTCGATTATTCACCCTAACCAATCTGAATCCAACAAGCATATGCATAATTACGATGGTCCCTAGGGGGTTAGAGTTTAATGATGAAAGAGTCAGAATGCTACAAGAGAACCTTTCACAGGTACCTTTTTAAGTCTTCCTGAATCCAGTGCTTTTTATTTTTAGCTTAGCAAAATTCCAACAAAATTGAAAGAGCCTTTCAGTGCTCAATCTTCCAGAATGATACCCAACAAGTGGCAGGAAATGTTGAGGTTGACAGATGAACTTAGCGAGCAAACAAGCAAAAGTTGTAGACTTTAAAACCTGCTCGGGGTTCGGTTAAAGATCAAAGCATTGTGACGCCGAGTTTCAACAGTGTTCAGAAAAAAAGTACCCTGTAACCTCTTTTCTCTGCACCAACGATTCATTCACTGAACTCCCAAGCAGCACATCTGTTACAGTTCAACCTGCACCTACTAGTAACTGTGTGGCCTAGTAGTCAGGGTTTGTTAATTCCCGATGCTAGGGTCAGGGGTTCGAGTCAAGCAGCCGGGCATACACTGTCAATCTGGGCAAGTCATTTTACACCCACTTGTCTCTCTCCACCCAGGAGAATCAATGCCTACCTATGACAGTGGAAAACAGCCGTCGTGTTTGATTTACTTATTTTTTTGTGAAATAGAAGCATCGAGCTGTCTACTCTCCAGGCAGCTGAGGTGGTTTTGGGAATACATCTGGGCCCAGTGAGCGGGGACAATAGTGATGCAGCGCCGGACCATCAGTGACCATGGATGTGTGGGCTTTACGAGCCCCGAGATGGACTAAGAGGAGACACCATTTTTCTAGCAACGGAGGCTCCTTCGGCGGGAACTGTACAGGTTCACGAACATTCACGACTGGTTCACGAACGACTATGAAATGCAAGCATTATCACAAAAGGAACACTTCCCATCAACATGGCTCTTGTCAAGTAATGGCGGGGTGCTTCTGCTCAAGCCAGATAAATAAAGATGATTATCACGGTTAGATTCTTGAGAAAGACTGACTTTTTTGGAGATGATTTTTTTTCCCCCAGCCTCTTGCGTTCTCACCTCTTGTACGGCCAGCGACTTCTGGCCCATGACCAGACGGCACATGATGATGTGCTCCAGCAGCATGAGCTGGAAGGCCGACAGGATGGAATGGGAGTCCAGGATCTTCAGCTTCTCGATCTGCAGCAGGGCCTTGTCGGTGTACTTCTGGGCCTTGTCCATGTAGCCCGCTTGCATCGAGTGCATCACCGTGACCTGAGGGGGGAGGGGTCAGGAGGTTTGAAAACATTCAATTGATTCCTTGCTACTGGGTCTCAGTGGAGAAAAGTGGACAGCGTGGTGTGAGCGGGTACAAGGGCTCTGGTGAATTATAGGCATGTGCCCAATTTATGGAGTATTCAGAATATTTGCTTAGCAGTTTTCAGATTTCACATTCCAAAACTGTGGTTGGTCTCAACTCCTCCGGAAATGAGAAAGAGATTCATGACTTCTTCCGTTGTACAAGTGGCATGATACTTCATGTATGTGTTACACGTCGGTGACTCACTGTTTGTCATCAGATACATGTTCACCTAGTTTTGCGCTAAAGGTTAGCCGGAATTTACTGCACTTGAAGTTAGAATTGAAAGCCCTTGTTATCCCACCACAAATGTATCGTCTTTCAAATTCATTGGGTATTTGAATACTGTATCAAATTCAGAGTCAAATATTCTTGTATGTGAATCTTTAAACCTGTACAGTACTACAGTGTGTGAGATGCATCATGCATATGCACTGCTACAGGCAAGAGATTGCACTCTGACCTACGTCTGAGCTGTGGTGGTCTCGATTACAAGACTTCTCAAACATGACTGAAGATTGTACTCACCAGATACACTAACACACACATGTGCTCCTTCGGTAACCAGTGAAACAAGTCTGCTGGATTACTTGAGATGGGTTCTGCAATGAGACAAAAATGAGACACATGGCAAAAACTGAAATTTTCCACGGGCCAATGTGGTGCCAACCAACCCACACACCGAGTCCGAGTAGAGCTAGAGCCAGCTTCAGATTTTGGAGACAACATGGCTGTTCATTATATGTACTGCACAGTGTGCGGCTACTGTCTACCAACTGCCCACATGCACCGGCGCATACACCTGCCACTTTGTTTCCAACAATAGTGACCCTCATGCCACAACTCTCTCTACACCCGGGCTCTGATTCCGAGTAAAGCCTCAATCTGGCCGCTTCTGAAGCAACTGGCTGCGGCTGGGCGTAGCACACATCTCTATGGGAAGCAGCTTCAGCCGTCAGCTAGTGGCTTCCATCGAGGCACGCTGTCTCCACTCACAGCGGTAACTTTTGTACATTGCCTATTTCTTGCTCAATAACAGGGTCTGGTAATAAGCCAATGTGTCCTTTGATAAGATGCCGACACGTTGATGTGTCTACACGAGCGTGAACTGGTACTGCATGCAGCACGTACATGCCTCTGAGAGTCAGGATACAAGGCAGGAAGCATTGTTAAGATAAGAAGTAATGATACACTCCGGCAGATTTGAGGGCACCAGCTGCGCCCACGTAGACATGTTCAAGAGGGCTCCTGACATACGTGTCTTCAGCCAGCAGTGACACCAACGCTACCAGCACCGGGCTATAAACACATCGAATCCAATTCCCAGTGTTATAGATTTATGTAAAAAGGGGGCTTGTAAATTTTAAACAAACAATAAGTGCCTGTCCATATGTGTTTCTGTCTGCCCTCTGGACGGGTGGACGGGTGGCTATATGAGACACCCCCTTCGCACCTCAAACTGAGACAATAACCCACCAATTTCAAAGGGCTCACCGTCATCTGAATGCAGCATGGTTATCGTCTGTATGGACTGCTGGAGGTTCTTCAGTGCCGTCTTCACACTTTTTACCTGGAACGGAGGAATAAAAAGCGTTACTGACAGCAAAACGACAGAAATGAACTGATCTCTACAGCTCATGAAGGGCGAACAACCTCACTTGGATTTGAATCTCGTCAGCTGGAGCTCTTCAACTTTCCGTACATTTCCCATTTAAATCTGCTGTCACACCAAGAACTGGCATACATGTAACTTTGTGGTGCGACTGAAGAAGAGCTTTGCTGTAAAAAAAAAAAAATTGCGAGACAGAGAGAGGGACTTACCTGGCCAGCCATGAGGTAATGGCAGACTTGTAAGACTAGGAAATAAACCTTGAGGGACTCCTTGTTGGTGGCACTGCCGGTGTAGTTGTCAATGATGGACCCGCACATCGACAGCACAGGGTGCACCTCCGCATATTTCTTGTCTATCAACATCAGCTACAATCCAACATACAAGAGTGTATGGCTTTACTGATTGTCTCCTTCGGATATATTTTTTTTGGGGGGGAGGGGTCAAGTTGATACTATCCATCCCCGGCAGCCGGGCGAAGCTACGAGTGCTGACCCTGCTTTTACACAATTAATAGGCAAGGTGAAATGATACGCACTGAAACCTTTTAAAATGCGTTCCTCTGGTTTACTGCTGACGAAATACTCCACTTTACAACACTTTGCAGACCTTAAATACGTACGCCCTCACTTCCAGCCCCATTGTATTTTCCTACAAAACATCCTGACGAAAGAAAACCCACTTCTGTTACTGGAGAAGTCTGCCACATGCAACGCAAGGCAAAACACGCAGCAAGATAAACACTAGCCTTGGCATTATCCATATTACCCCCTAGGCTCTTGCAGTAAGGAGCATGCTGAACCCAACAAACTCCAACAGATACATGTACTTGTCTATGCACTTGTACATGCAGGTCACTGTACCAAACCTGATAAACTCCATCAAAGTGCTCCGTTGGAGTTTGAGTGATATGGTTCGGATGGGTCTATGCAGTATAGGATGACTTGCACTAATATACCAAACCTGATCAAGTATGGTCCAACACTTGGTACAGCAAGCCACACACTGCACACAGTGACCCCTTCACGTCCCAACTCATACAAAATCCAACACGAACACCCCGGGTCTTTGATACCAAGTCCAACACAATTCAACATGAAGTAAATTGGGTATGGTTACAAACTTGCCAAAACCTGGCAAAACCTGCTGTTGGAGTTTGATGGATACTGGGCAGTTAGGGTTCCATGCATGCAGTTCCCTGCTCTACACGGGGGAGGGAAGTCCTGTGCTAGCCAGGTGATATATATAGTCTTGTGACATCTTAAGGGATCTTAACTACGACACCACTTTTGGCTCGATGCTTTTGGGCAAGTCAGTGATGCCGACCCCTAAAATGATGAAAAACTTTTCACAGATATTGGACAGTACTGAATTATTGTAGTTTTTCCCGAGTTAATGACCAACTCACCATTCCTTTACTGAGAAGAAAAAGCGCCCTCGTGTACTCGGAGCTGGCGACCACCGCATAGTCTGCCCCGACGCCGAGAAGCTCGCACGCCGAGATGAAATCCTTCTCGTGCGTGTGGATTTGCTGCACCCGTCAAAGAGAACGCATGGAAGAATGAAAGAAACGCGAGTCCGTAAATATACAACTTTACATAGTGAAAACTTTCTTATTTTTTCAAAGTACGGAACTGAAGGCACAATTTGTTGCTGCCATGAAAGAACAAGATAACTGCACTATGAGGTGAGGTTGGGGAATAGAGAGAGATCCACCTGAGAGGCAGGTGGAACGTATAATAATGACACTTAAGCACCATGATCTTCTTTGGGAATCTGAAAGAGAGAGGATGAATGAGTCCTCTCGCAAATAGCGACACGTATGATTGTGTAAATCTTGCACTTGGTACAGAAAAGTACGCAAAGCACTCTTGGTAGGCAAAGAACGGAAAAGCAGCTACATGTAAGCCCGCATGACTAAACCTCTACAAAAACAAAATAAAATAGAATTCGGCAACGAAAAATCCTGAAATATGGCAAAATGACACCCTGGAGAACTAGTGAATATACTGTATCCTGTATGCCAGAAGGATGAAGAGGCTGCATGTCATTTTGTATCGCCGCTGCACTTGTCAAATTTTTTTTTCTTCACAAGTGTAATCAGGGTAAGTAATTCCATTATAATGGGAGCCTTATCGACGTTGTGCACATGATGATTATAACTGGATGCAGGCAATGTGCACTTTTCGTATGTGCAACTGCCAGGGGAAAAGGGACATGATTTGCACCCAGCCATAAAGGGGGAGCAACATGGGAATTATGCCACACCGCCGTTGCGGTCACCACTGATCAAAGAGGATGTGATGGCTTACCGCTAACTGGAACAGGAGAAGGCAATGCCAGTACGCCGACTGCTGCGAAATACCGATGGCTTTGCGTAGAATTTGTTTGGCGAGATGTAATTGGTTCTGTTGAGTAAACCAGGGGGAAAAAATAAACCACATTCATTGATTGTCAATACAACAATGTTACCATTCTCAGGTTTGCTGCTTTGCTTAATTAATGAGACAAAATGAAACCAGCATGCCCCAACAAGAAAATGCATCTAGATTTAACAGACAGGCTTTATTTAGGCCAAACAGAGCACTTTTTATGTTTGAACAAGCCCAACTTCTGGATTCGTTCCCCAGGAGAAGCAGATCCGAAAACCAGTTTTTTTTTCTTCAGATTTTCAGGACAAGTGATACACGTAACTCTTAACAAAGAAGCCTTTAGTAAGCTCTGTGTCAGCTACCATGCAAAATAACTGGCTTTAGTGTATTGATGAGGGTTTCCAGGATGATTGTTTACTGTTACCGTGACCTTCCAGAGTGTCAGCACATTATGACCATGCCTGGATTTAACTTTGAGTTTACAATATGTAATGGAAATTGATGCTAAATAAAAACTGAAGTCTTTAACAATAAATCTGCCCTTTTGCTTCAACGACCACATCCAGAAGTCAAAGCAAACGAATCACTGTCTTTGACATTCACGTATTAGAAATACTCCCAAAGATTAACATCACAGGTACCAAGAAACTACAGTGTTTAAAGGGACAACTTTTTGTTGTCAGATCCCAAACCTAGCCCCAAATTCTGTGCCCAATTGAGTCTGGTGATCCAAGTCATGGTCATGCCCAATTACATTGTAAGTCTGGTGACCCAAGTAAGGTTGTGTCCAAATCACTTGGCTATGACAGGAACAACACACTCCAATGGAAGTTCAAGTCACCAGAGAGCGAGTTCATGCTCTTCCCATAGATGCACATGCTGTTTCTGATCGTATTCAAGTGATCTGGATTGGCCAGAGTGGGAATCTGAATTTGGAGCTAATTGGGCATCCATTTGTATTTGGCTGCTAAACGGAAACAACATCGCACCCAGGTCATTGACACAATGATTTCACATCAAGAAAAGGGGAAAACAACGTAGCTTTTCACACTCTTTTTCAAGAAGCAATTATCCAACACAATTGGTTATTTTTGGGGGGAGGGGTTCTGAAGTGTACAGTGAAAAGGCAAATGATATTGTTCACCTTGAACTCAGTCTGCTCGAAACAACACAAACATTTCCTCAGAGAAGAATGTAATTTCATCTGCAATGGGTATTTGCCATTGGTGTGCAGGAAAAAAAAAATTATTCTTACTTGTTTTTCATGTATCCTCGCTAACTGGCTTGCTGCTTCAAATTTGACATCATCGAATGATGGAATCTGCGGTGAATTCTCGTCAAGGAAATCGTGAGAGATCAAGATTTGAATGGATACCATCCATATCCACTCTGGAGTAAAAGCTTCCACTATATTTTCTTCTTACCAGATGCATTTCCATGACAGGACACACGTTAACAGCACCCACATGCTCGGCAACCAGTAACATGAGAGCAGGGGCTTTACAAGGCAACACGCATGCCGAACACGGCCATGAAATTTGTTCTGTTTGCTGGTGTTGGGTCCTACCCCACCCTTGGTAAGCGGTATAGAAAACTTACCCAATGGGCATGAACACTGCACACAATGGTTGTGAAGCCTCCAAGTCCTTTGACTAAAACAAAACAGACATGCTTCCCGTTCACTGCCAGCAGAAAAATGGTCCCTTGTCATCAGTGAAAAAGGTAATAACATGCCCGCGCTGATTTGCTGAAAGGCATGTCCAAGTTTCAATTGATTGCCAGTTCAATATATTGCAATTTGTTAATTCAATTGTCGTGTGGGAGGAGGGAGGGAACAGTACACGGATGGCAAGTCAACATGAAAACGGACGATTCTACAAGATACATGTAGCTCAAAGAAAAATTCTGAAAAATTTTTTACTGAGGCTAGCATAGAAGGGCTGTTAGGAATCTGGATATTTCCTCCTGGGGTATGGACATCGAAAATTAAGAGCATGTCAAAAGGAGAGGGCGTAAAGTTTACAAGCTACGCTTTGAACCAAAAACATGTTTCATCGACAAATTACGCCAAGTTTTCACATTCTAAAAGGTCTGATTTCAGACAAAATGTCAGCCGGATCTCATGTCTGAACAAGGCCTGCTTATTATGGATCCCTTGTGTATTCGGGATTTCATTAGTGTCAATATAAGCGGGAGGCATGGTTGAATGAGATAAATGCACTGACTTGACATGCGCATTCATTAATAATACATGGAAATGAAAGCACTTCATCTGCAAAGCGACGGCAGTGAACGCTTTTCCGAGACGCAAGACGAGCCACATGGAATGTTCCTGCAGCATGGACAAGATGGCTTTCCCACAAATTGAAACATTTGAGCTGCAAATCACTTGATAATGTATCTGCATATTATCACCACACATGAAAAGGCAACTTAGTCGCAAAGGCCTCCAAAACACACATCTTACAAGCATCTCACAACATCATCCGTTCTCAGATTGAGAATCTACCGTTATTTCGCTTCTTGAAATTTTCTCCACAGCACCATCTTTGGAAAGCACAAATATTCAACGACAGACTTAAGCAATAGAGGGGCAGACAGTGATAAACGTAATAATAGGAAGAGCAAAAGTCACGAATTTAAGGTTTTTAATTTCCTAAAATGGGAAAAAAAAATAAATGGATAAAGTAGTCTCTAACCTTCCTGACAAGCCACTTACACAGAGGAGAATTTGACATCTGAAAGGTATGATCCCTGCATGTTGTTAGTTTACAAATGAATCTGCTAATCAGACAACTTGGGATAATTTGGCAGTGCAGTCAAGCAAGGCAAAGACTTTAGAATACTCAATCATTATTTCTGTTCACTCCACGCTCAATGGTCGAATGGTAGATATCATTGAAAGAGTTCCATATCCGGCGACCACTTATCGTCCTTAAATATGACTTAAAACTACATAGAGTGTAAAAATTTGACGAACAAACACTAATTCAGGAAGGACATATTTTCAAGTTTTCTTGAAAAATAATCGGTCTTTTTCTGTCAATGCCCATTAATTTTGTGCACAAGGTCTGAGGTGGTGGCAAATATGGAACTCTGTCCGATATTTTCACATTTGAAATTATTTCCTGGAAATGTTAACGGTTGGGGTCAACCTTGAATCAATCAGTTGTTAAAACTTTTGACAGATTTTGACAAAGTTTTCTAAATTCATCCGTCTTCAACTTTTACCATATTGAATGGGCAGACCTGACTAGCAGGTATTGTCAACACGGTCAAAGACCCAAGTTATATTTAAAACCATATAGGTTCTTGTGAAGAAAAAGACAGAAGAGCTGGGAATGGTGGAACATCTTGAAAAAGCTAATCTTGTGGGAAGAACTACAGTGCTTTTATTGTACAATACTTGGCCTTTTCAAGCGGACAAAACAGCTCATTTAGTATGAGCAGACATGAGTATATCACTGCTTGATCGGGTGCCTAGCTAGCTATCAACAACATAATAGTACTGATTACATGGACACGCATGCGTGCTGACCCCTATCTGACATCATGCATTACACACATACATGTACACTATCCGTACTAGCGGCATATATGCACACACGCTCACTAATGAATGGAAAAGGATACACTCTGCGATATGGCCCACTGCAATTTGGGGAGGAAATAAACGAGAAAAAGAACCATTAGTTAGCAGCCTTAACGAGACATTTCTAATAAGAAACCATCATTCTACTGTGTGCGCAAATATCACGGGTTTGAACAGCGTATTTAGGGGTTACAGGGGTAAACAAATTTTAATTCCTACTCACTGCTTTTTCCAAATGCGTCCGCGCCAGGTCGACGTTCTTCGTATGCGTGAACAATAAGCTGCCTAGCTGGACGTGCGTTCTCGCCTCGATCCTCGACGGCGGTTTGAAGTGAAAAATGGACTGTAAACAGTGGATACAGTGCTTGATTTTGGGCGGGCTGGCCGTCCTGAAACTCTCCGCCATCCCTAGAAGAGCCAGGTACCACGAATCCGTGGGTATCGGCGGGGCAGACGCCATTTTCGGGGTCGTAACTTGGGCCTTCCCGCTGGTGGATTTTTTTCTACTCGGCTCGCGATTTACGATTTTTCTGTCTGATGAAGGACGCCAAAAACGACATAGCGCCCTCTCGTGAAATCTTGCGGTTGGGTATCAGGCCAGTGGTTTCGTATCATGCATGACGTGTCGCTGATGTCAGGGTTTTTTATTGTTTTAATTTCAGTTGGGTGTGGTCTATGTACTTACATTGGCGATCTTGTCGTTAACACTTTTCAGATATCGAAATGTTGGCCAGTTCACTGCAAACCAAGGTGTTGTGTCATTAATTAAGAACCGGGTCAAAGTAAGTCAGAGAGTATCATGAGAAATAATAGAAAGAATTTTCGTCGACGTTGCCAATTGCAAGTAACAAGCAAAAAGAGTTGGAACTTATCGCAGGAAATGTTATAGATCACAGAGGCTGAGTAAATCATCAGTTCATCAATCTATGGAGGGCAAACGTGATCTCCCCCCCCCCTTTTTTTTTCATCTCCACCCCCAATATAGCTGCCATGCAGGCACACTAAGTCAGTGTTATGTTGTACTGCATGAGTCGAGGCTACTCGAAGGTTAATCATGTCAACAATATTCAACATACCTTTACTGTCCTAAAACATCCCGGAATTTATTTATTTACTCTAAAATCTATGTTTACTGTCCCTATTTCACATGAAAATTTTGCATGCCGCCACGCTGCAACCCGACTCCCACGGTTACGCTGTTGCTTCTGTCATGATACTTAGGGGAATGTTTTCCATCGCATTTTTTTTTTTTTTTTTTTTTTTGGTTACAATTTAGTAGGACTCTCCTTACCGTTCGACTGAAAATCGCCCAAATTTCTAAAGCCATACTAAAGGATATATTTTTCACGGTTGATGCGGCTGGTGGCTGCAGGGTAAGTTGGAATGGAACTGTTCCTAAATCCGACCCACCTACGGATTGTTTATTATTATGTTCACGTCCCAAATATCATTCTCAGAATATTTCTGTTAAAACTTGTGACATGCGAAAGTGATCTTAAACTAGAAAAGAGGATATGGTCAATGAAATGGTCAATTTAGGTGTGATGTTTCTTGATTTATTTCAAGTGGAATAAGAAAGACTTGCAAAAGGTTATTATGACTTCTGGTTATGTTTTTCAACATGTAGTAAAACACCCACGAAGCTCGGATTATCAGAATCGAAGGATGAAAAATTCAAAGGACACAGAAAACATCCACGAAACAGAATCTAGACGCAAATTCATTTTTTTATCAACGAAATTGAATTTTATTCTCCTAAGGGCGTACCCCAAAACCAAAGTTTTTCGGGGTGGAATTCCTTTGGGGCAGAACATTTGAAGATTTCGTTATGTAACCTTTTATGGCATCATCTGACCTATGTGGTCAGTTTTGGTGTGTTTTTAAATGCTTTTTTAATAAACAAAATTCCCCAAAGTTGGTGGGGGCGGGTCCCCCCGCACCCCGGCTCCTCCTTTGTCTTCGTTACTTGACTGCGGCATGAAACTAAACACGAGTCTACGACAGTAGCCGCAGCCACAACCTTTGAGTAATGAGTAGGTGGTATTTTTGCACTACCGTCTCTTTTCACTCACCATGAATGAATGCCTCTGAAATACTGACCACTAACTTAATCAAAACACTAACATGCACAAAAACAACTAGACAGCCAAAAGTCTCAAAGGAGGTGGCGGGAAGATGACTAAATTGTTGTTAACAGTATAGCGAAAGAAAATGTAAACCTTTGACCGGGCATTGTGTCCAGGTTGAACTAGATTTTTGCGAATAGTACAGCAAAAGAACGTAAACCTTTGACTGGACATTGTGTCCAGGCAGAACTAGATTTTTGTGAATAGTATAACAAAAGAAAGTAAACCCTGGACTGGACATTGTGTCCAGCAGGCATAACTAAATTGTTGTTAACAGTATAGCGAAAGAATGTAAACCTTTGACCGGGCATCGTGTCCAGGCAGAACTAGATTTTTGAGAATAGTATATAGCAAAAGAAAAGTAAACCTTGACTGGACATTGTGTCCAGGCAAAACATATATTTGAAAATTGTACAGTAAAATCAAAGTAAATATATGACTGACCTGACATACTGAGACAGCCTCAAGAATCGCATCGATTGATACAAGCTCTTCAGAGCTTTTAAAGGGGAAACTTTCCGGTTAGAAGATATTAAGCATAAAAACGGGTAATTCGGCTGCGTCACAAATATTTTACTAATTATTACAGAGTACTCATTATGGTTGTCGGTAGTTGCAAGGCAAAAGGTAAGTATTTGCTATGTAAAGACGAAATAAATGAGCACTTTTTTTCTCAGTAAAGTCATCTGTTTTGCCTCTTACGCAAAGCATAGCACAAAGCGGCTGACAGGCCGAGGCCAAGGCCATTTCAAAGTGAAACAACCCCCCAAAAAACTACAATTAATCCACGACTTTACTCCCCTTTATAATAAATGGCAATCACCCACGCATGTATTTCAATCATTCCCGCGCTCTAAAATCGTGTAAGGTGCTTAAGGAAATTTTAAATTGTACAAATTCTCCCGTGCTTGTCATAACTACATTTATAAATGATGATTATAAAACCAAATAATGTGGTGTCTCATTCGTATCTTTAAGTTTATCTTACTAGAGTAAAACCCTGAACCATGCAGTAAAAGGCTAAACTTAAAGAAATTACAAATTAAAAAAAATTAAATCCTGGCTATATATCTCCTGTTGATGAGCACCCAGTTAGTGGACGGGAAACAAAACGCTTTGCAATATTTCCCGATAAACTCCGAAGCAAGGAATGTACATCTTAAGGGGAAAAAAGCCTCCATAAAATACAATGCAGTATATTTCCTGTCTAGAAGACTGGGTACACCAGCGGACTTCCTTCGGTAGCTCAGTTGGAAGAGCGGTGGACTGTAGACGTGTCGTAGTAAGGCATTCATCCATAGGTCGCTGGTTCGAATCCGGCCCGAAGGATAAGATAAGATTTTGTTTCTTTCTATTGATTGGCTTCTTTTTACAGTTCACACTGTCAGAGTGCCCACTGTGAAGAGAATAGTACCATCTTTCATAACCCTAACCCCGTGGGATGCATGTAAAATCATATTGAAATCAGAGGATTTGGGACTGTTAGGGCTATTACACCAAACATGTATTGATAAGAAACATGTCAACTCACTCTCCTTTTGTTACTTGAAACAAATTTAAAGTGTCATATATTACATCTTATACGCAGTTTATTCACCTCGGTGTCCATTCATCCTTGTAAATTTGTTTTGTTTTCACTTTAACACGTTTTTTAGGAGTCGTGGTGAGAAAGTAGCGCTTTCATTTTCGGAAAAACATAATAATAAAATATTTTAATAAGACAGTAAAAGTAAATGTCAAATACTTTGTATTTATGAGAAACGAAAGGTTGTGCGATGGCCCCAGTAAAATTCATGTGATAGACTCTTTAAACAGCCGAACATTCATTATGTCACTATAAATGAGTTTTTTTTTTTTTTTTTTTTTTTGAGAGAAGACTCTTCTTGGCCTGGAGTTAATTAACAAACTAGGCATAATAACTGTTTAAAAGCGATAACGTGACGTTTGCCTGTAGTGTTGTGAAATGCTTTGCACGATTTGAGTGTCACTCAGGGACACCGTAAAATAGTATGGTAAAATCATTATAATAAGTTCCAGGTTGAGTGGGTGGAGTTAAGTTAGTCACGGATCCCAAAACGTTCGGCGCATGACCCTCAGCAGAGAGCAATATCGCAATTTCCGTGTGCATTGTGGAGGCGATACCCAGGGCTAGCGCTGTGTGATGCAAAGGCTATGAATGGATGTACATGTACGTACATGTACATGTACATCTACATGTAGAGTACACTATTCTGAACATGTACAGTACATGTGCATGTTACTTACATGTACAATGTACATGTACGTCGCAAGGACAAACCGTGCCTTGACGTACAAGTGTACTGTATGCGAGCACCAACAAAGCCAACGCACCCTGCACAGAATGTATTAATATAATGTACAGTGTACTGTACATGTACATTCTACAGCTACATTGTAATGTACATGTACATGTACGAGCAAGCGCAGGTGCAGCAGGTTTCGTGTATGCCGACGTGCTACGAGACTGCTGCATGTTTGGGCTTCAGTGCGGATCTTGCCGTGGAGACATGAACCACCGTGGTGATCAGATACGATCTCGAGGAAAAACTAAAGGCTAGCTACACATTTTTATTTTTTTCGGATTAGGGATCCGCTGACCTTTTTGGAGGGAGGCAGATACAATCTAGTTGTGCCAGTTTTTAATGTTGTTTTAGCAGTGTCAGAAAAATTATAAACTTAACGGCTAACAGTACCTAAGCCACATTTGCTTAACTTGATGCTTATATGGCTTGTAGTCAATTTCTTTATTTACAAAGAAAACAGATGCTGATGTAAACTCCGATGTGACTTTTTTATTCCATCTATAGACAGTACCTCCTTTAATACTCAAAATAAAAAAGTCTAACATTCATTATTCTAATTATGGTTGTAAGGAGACCCAGCTTAGCCATTGTATAAAATTCAAGTCGTGTACCCATTTCATCAGATGTCTGTTAACTTAATTTCAAGACATTCTCAGTCCAGTCTGAAAAGCTGGACGAATTGCATGTGGCAAAACATTTCGGCCTATTCACTTTGACTTCATGCATAGATGCGGATCAGATAGAATTAGATTCAGATTCTAGGCCTACCAACTGAAAATATTTGGCTTGTGATTCTGGAAGTGTTGGGAACTATCTCCCTCCCAAAAAACTTGAAAGGCCGGTTCACTCTTCTCACAAAAGTGAACATAAATGCCAATTTGTAAGGCCAGTTCAAATAATCGTGCTGCGATTTCGCGAAAGTTGAGCACATTTCAGCTCGAGTAAAATTTTGCTGCCAAACTTTCGTGACTTCCGAAGGCCTCGTATGAGCCAGCCGTTAAGCGTCTTGCCCAAACCTTCCAAGGTTTTGCAGATATTCTCACTGGTTTAATACGAGGCCGAAAGATTTTCTCCGCCAGAAACCGTC